GTTGCATCTTAAAGCATGCCAACCAACCACCAGAAAAAACTAAGGTCTTGGTAATTTCCATCTGCTGATAAATGTTCTTGGCCTTTTTGATCAACATTGGGCCAGAAATTGGAGCTCCCTCAGAATATGTCAATGAAAACCATTAGTAGAGCATGTTCTCTAACTGTTCCAATTTTGGTTTGGGCAAAATATGGTATTTCTCAATTGCTTTGCTTGTCTCAGCACTTGACACGAATTTCATCGGTTCTGCCTTCCACACCTTAATATAGTAGACTGTCGATGAGCCAATGCTAAACTCTTGCAACAAGTGGCTCCCGTTTTTTCCTCTTTCAAGGTGCCTAATTAGGTCCAATTTCTGGGTCAACAGAACACATTTTCTTTTCTGTCTTTTGCCTATTGCTGAAGCACTGCTAGCCATAGCTGCAGGATGGGTCAGATAATACAATATCCGGTGATGGCAGTACTGTACTCAGAAGGGAGACAAGAACAGCCTTTAGTGCTGCAAGTTTGCAAACATGACTTCCCCAAGCACTGGAAAATGGTGTCGGGATGGCTGCCAGAATGTTTCCAGTTAACTGAATGGGGAATTGTATTGCTATCTATGGTAGATGCGGGTTAACAGAGCTTTCCAGATACTAAAGTGCCCGGTAACAAGGCTTGTACTGTATGTCTTCATGACTCAGAGGTGCTCTTTTTAGTTCCAACTTTGTCCACCATCTCATCTGATCTGGGGAGATGGTGCTCTACTTCTACTAGTTTATCCTGTCTCATTCTGAACACTCCTTAAGTCTTGTAACACACTTACCTACACCGGGCAGAAAATGTTTTCCATGAACAAGCTGAAATTTTTCCTCTCCTAACTCTCAGTTAATGTCTTATCACTTAAAGAACGTGTCCCTCTTCTGAGTGTATCATTGGGAACCAAAATTCCGGGATTCTAATTCTAGTGCTAGTGCCAACTTCCTTTGCAACCTAAACTTGCTTGTTTGCTTCTGAGCCTCTCATAGGTAAAACAGATGTAATTATACACCAAACCACCATCTAGGGATGTTGTGAAGATTGGTTAATGTCTATGAAGTATTGTGCAGATGCACTTAACGTTATTATGTTGTCCCCACTTAATCTGGAGAACAAAATTGTATTTAAGAGCCTGTTACCTGACCGTGTAACTGAACTCTCTTTTTTGTGCCTTTAAAAAGTTAACTGAGTGGCAGTTTCTAGCAGTATTTAAAGATTATCTGCTGTGCCACATATTTAAACAGCAAGTGTAGCTGTGTAATTTCATCCTGGAACCAGCTATTTTATTCACCTAAAAAAATCAACTTAGTTGTTACTAACCATCCTGCAAGCCAAATATAAATCAATTTAAACTCCTTGTTTGCAGCTTGTGCCAAGTCATTATAGAGAAAGACTAATCTATTAAATAATTAAGGCCCTGCATTTATGGAGTAAGACGAAAGCGACATTGCAGATGAAGAATAATTCTGAACTGCCGTTTCCCTCTAATCTATACTTAGACCATGTGCTTCAAATATAGACAGTAGTCTGATTCCAGTTAAAAGCTAGAGCCAGTGAATGGGCTTTGTGGAAAAGCACCCAGTCTCTGTCTCGGAAACTAGAAATCGAATTACCCCCTTTGGATTCGATCTCTGGTCAAGAATCAACCTTAGTGCTGTTGGTTGAGCAAGAGGAAAAGACAAGTAAGCAGCTGGTAGAACACACCTTTATTAAAAATGAATTACTGCAGTAACAGTCTGCCCCAGGCAGGTTCACCAATGAGGGGGGAAGGGTCAGGGAGGGCCGAGGGGGCACCTGCCCTAGGGCCTGGCTGTTCAAAAGGGCTTGGGGCTTCCAACTGCCATTGTGTCAGTGGCGGCTGCTGGAGCCTCAGGCGCTTTAAGTCACTTCTGGAGCCCTGGGCGGCATGCTCCAGGCAGTGCTATGGACTGCGGGAGGGAGCACAGTGCGGTCTGGGCAGTACTGAGGGCTCGCTGCCCCAGACCTGCCCCTTCTGCAAGTGCAAAGCTGCCCCCCACAGCTTGCCCAGGGGCCCAGCAATTCTACGGGCCCCACTGGCCCCAAGTACTGCAGCAGCTACTATAAACTGGAACCACCGGTACCACAGGCACTTTAAGCATTTGTAAGTTACTAGAGCCCTGCATGGATACAAAATTTGTATCCACATCTCTATATATAAAAATGAGCTGCGTACCTGGAGATGAAAGCAGATATCCTCAGATTTGCAGGGTTCTAGGTACAAAATTTGTATCTGCATCCACATCTGCAAAAATGAGCCATGGATGCAGATACCTGCAGATCTGCAGGGCTCTCTAAACTAGTGGTTTAGGATATAATCTGTTTCCTCGCATTAGCAGTAGTAAGATAAAAGTACCACTATTGCTAACAGGGCTACTCCTTTAGTTCAAGCGGTTAGCACTGAAAGTCCCGGGTTCATTCTCTGTTGGTAACCCATGGCAGAGACAGATGAGAAGGAGGTCATTACAAGTACTTTTTCTCTGAAAAAGTTGATGCAGTTATGAAAACATATGGTATAGCACCATGGGTGCCAACTGAAAAATGGACAGGCCCTGAGGGCACAACCACTTTGATGTTCAATGGATCAGCTGAATTTTTTGTTTTCTATTTTTTTTCTTTTTGGAACTACTTTACTTAAAAAAAAAGATTAAAAAATGAACAAACTGGCTTAAGTGCAAATCTCCACTGGGACACGTGTCCTCATCATTAAAAGTGCAAACAATGAGAACTAATTAGCAGTCCCTGCAGGGAGATCAAGAGGGGCCAGGACCTCTATGCACTCTTCAGAGTAGGGTCAGGAGCCCTGACTGCAGGGAAGCACAAGGCAGTTCTCCTGGCTGGTCCTCAGGTGCCTCAAGTGCCTTTCTTGCCTGGTGCATAGAGAAAGGATTTTATTCCCCAGAGCTGGGAGGACTGTGCCTTCGCCAGTATTCAAAAATGTCTTTTTTAATGTCTTTTAAAAAATGTGTTAAACACTGCTTCACTGCTCCCAGCACCAGATCAGGCATCCCAAGGAAACACAGTGGTCGGTGTATTACTGACACGATCATTCTGAGGCTACACCCACACTGCCAAAAACCACCTGTGGCACTGATTGCTAAGGTCAATTGATTCAGGCTCAAGTGGCTTGTATTATGGGTAGGGATGTCAACCTGTAGTTCATAAGATTAACCGATAAACCTACATTTGTCGGTTAATCTTGTCAAATACATGCGTTTCCCTCTGGTCGGTGTATTACTGACACGATCATTCTGAGGCTACACCCACACTGCCAAAAACCACCTGTGGCACTGATTGCTAAGGTCAATTGATTCAGGCTCAAGTGGCTTGTATTATGGGTAGGGATGTCAACCTGTAGTTCATAAGATTAACCGATAAACCTACATTTGTCGGTTAATCTTGTCAAATACATGCGTTTCCCTCCCCCAACTTGCAGTATCAGAGGCAGCAAGTGGGGGAGAGCAGGAGCCAGTGCCGCCAGCCCCGCACCCCATTAGCTGCCTATATCAGAGGCAGCCGCAGGGGGGGG